AAACATGTGTTAGGTATATATTTACTTAGGCAAATTCTAAGAGGCATTTTAAACACTTTGGGGGAGGGGACCCAGAGAGGATGAGGTACCTTATTCTTTTGCAGATTTTGATACAGGAAAAAGTTCTTAGAGGTACCGATACAGCAAAACTAAAGCAGTCATCATCAGGCTCATCAATATTGACCCCAAACCTTTATATAGCATCTCTATAAACTGTGAATTAGGTAAGAAGTATAGATAAAATTATGAATAAAATATAGACTCTGCTCAGGAGAAGCTTAAGTGCCTCAATGGAGAGAGATAAGAATGTCACCCATAAGTTTGCTGGCAGTATCTGGAGGGGTTTGGAGGTATCATCCATCCCCTAGAGAAGGCAGTATTCACCAGTAACTCCCCTCAAAAACACCCTGGTCAGGGGGCCATAGAAATGTGTCTCAATTTTCCCATTCAATCACCAAGCAGTTCATACAGATCCCATTCCATTCCGATGCTTGCTATGAGCCCCTTCAACTTTTAGTCTCTCACGCTTTTCTCTTCCTTTGCACTCTGGGGTCTTTTTACCCACCCCCCTTCCTTCTGCAGGATCCCTAACACTGGGCTTGGCCCTGGGCTCCCTCTGGCCAAACCGGCCAAACCAGCCACCGGCCTGGCCGGCACTTGCCCTCCATCTGTCACATGCAGCGCACAAGACAAACAAAACCTTTCTCTTGCTAATAGTGACACCATCTCTATGATCTGTGAGTGAGGTAGAAAGTGGGGGATCAAGGAGAAGAAACATCCTGTCCTGCAGCATATCCACAACCAAATATAAATCAGAGAACAAATGTTATTGAAAAAGTATGTATTTGATAGGAATAACTTTGCCTCTGAGAAATAAAAATTCAATATAACAGTGACTAAAACAGGATAAAGGTATATTTTCCCTCTTATGTAAAATTCCACAGCTAAGTGTCCAGTCCAGGGTCTGCTCCATAAAATTCTCAGAGACCCAGCTCCTTCTGGCTCATTGTCTATCATCTTGAGGATGTGGCCATGGTCTTCAGGTCCAAGATAGCAGCTAGATCTCCTGCCATCACATCCTCATTCCAGATAGCAGGATAGAGGTTGGGGCAAAAAGAAGAGACAAAGGATACAGGTCAGTTACTGTTGTCTTTTTAAAAATTTTTTCTTTTTTTGCTTTACTGTTGTCTTTTTAATTTTTTTTTTACTAATGATAATATTTTATTATAGAAAAAGCATCCCAAATATAGGATTTCATAAATGCTAGTAGGTGAGCAAGTATAACTTTAAAAGTACCTACAGGGGCACCTGGGTAGCTCAGTCAGTTAAGCATCCCACTCTTGATTTCTGCTTAGGTCATGATCTCAAGGCCTGAGATTGGGCTTCACCCTGGGCGTGGAGCCTGCTTAAGATTCTCTCTCTTCCTCTTCCTCTGTCCCTCCTCACTCTCCCCACACCCGCTCTCTCTCTCTTAAAAAGAAAAAAAAAAGTACATTCAAAGTAAAGAGGCAAAACTTAGAAGCATTTTGCCTTTGAAAGAGAATACAATGTTCTCCTGCAGAGATGATCCCACCCAGAGCATGAATGTGGCTCCATCTCTCATGAAGACATCAGGTTTGCTTTCTGAACTCACTATACCCATTTTAACAATTTCAAAATGATGGCAAGAAGTGGCATTGAATAAATTACTAAAACTCCTTGATTCTTAATTTTCTGTTGACAATAAAAAAGATTCTGTGCCACACTTTATGACAGATTTTGAGTTAAAGCCTGATTGTTTTTACTTACAGAAGGGTCCAGGGGAACACTATTTGCAAATATCCATTTTTCCTGGGCTTATGCCACAGTATTTTCATAGGCCTGTACACATTAGATATCACACTGTTCTCTTGGAATTTAGTTTAAAATAAGATTGGCTGTTGCATAATGTGCAGTAAATCCAGCTGCTTTCTAGCTCCCTAACTCTTCTTGCTGTCATTCTTTCAATACCTTTCCTCCACTTTGGAGAAACCATTAAGTAATCTAACCTGACACATTTTTAACACTGCCTCTTTGTCTACTCTCCAAATCCTCAAGGCTAATGCAAACACAAACTCAAGATTCTAAAGCTCAAATTCAGGTTCATGTTGGCTTGCTGAAATGACTTGGCGTAAGATATCCTGGGGAAAACCATTTCCTTATGAAAATGTTCCTGTATATATTTAGGCACCTAGCTTATTTAGGTTATTTAGGCACCTAGAAAAAAACACCAAACCTGAGTTCCAACTTTTTTATTAGAAACACTTCTTGCCTAGCTGGCCAATTTCTACATGCTAGTTGTCTCTTGAGGAAGGTGCCCAGAAGTCACCACAGGACAATCCTACTTATATCTCTTTGAGGAGGACTTGATCACCTGGTTACTGCAAGTCAGAACAAGTCAGGAAATGGAGTCTTTTCTGAATGGCATGAGCCCGGCTAAAAATTGAGAGTCTTTTGTGGAAGGAGAGAATGGGCATTGTAGGAAAACTAGCTTCTCGGCGACAAAGAGCAAACAAGATACTTTAGAAGTAAAGAATAGAAAAAGACCAATTTAAAATTAAGAGAACTAAAGATCATTTCACAGAAGAAAGTTGGGTCTTGAAAGTTGTACTATTTAGACTGGCGGAAATAGGACATAACAGGTGGAATGAATAGAAGGAACAAATAGTGGGCACATGTACATCCATTCATTCTTTCATTTCCTTTAGTCATTAAATTTAAAAGTATTTTTTATTCTAGAACTTTTCGGTTACACATAAATATAGAAAGAATAATATAAGAACCTTCAGGGCTCATCAACCATTATGAATAATTTAGAAATGATCGATAAACATTTATGAAGTAGGCTTTCAACTAAAAATACAGAAATGATTAAAATGCAATGGCCCCAAGAAGCTTAAGCATAGTGGGTATGTCTGAAGGAGTAATTCATTAAGGAAATGAATGAACATTTGGTGAAGTTGAGTGGTAATATAGCAGCCAATGTAACCAGAATACATATGTGTTAGTTCTTTACTATGTTCCAGTCATTGGTTGGAGGAACATGGATAAAAAGCTCACTGTTAGCCCTGTGGATATTTACTATCCTGTGAAGGGCTCATAGGTCAATGGAAATAAATAGCTGCAAATCATGGAAGGTCTGGACTATCATAATGTGGAATATGAACAGGCAATAGTCAGGCAATAGAGAATTGCCAGAAGTAGTTGAGCAGGAAAATGACCGAATATTAAATCCAAGGTTTAGAAAGATAATTGGTGCCCTCATGGAGGACAGATTGCAAAGAGGAAAACAAATTTAGGAAAATAGTTAACAATTAAAAGTGAATTTCAAAACAACCTGAGTAAAAGGAAGAGAAGAAAATTAACATATTTTGATGTCTACATTGTCCCACGCATAGTGGTTAGCCCTTTACACACATTATGCCTGACAGCCCCAAGAGGAAGGTGTTATCCCCTTGATTTTTAGATGAGGAAGTAGAGGAAGTAGAGGCCCAGAAAGTGATTTTTTTCTGGCTCTATTCCTAGGTCCTAGTGGAATCAGAATTTGAGTCTGTTTTGCTAGCCTCCATGTTTACATCTGTACCACATGCCTCCACGTCCTGAACTGCAGAGGTAGCAGAAGGAATCGGAAAGAGGGCGCAGAAGTGAGGATGCTCCTGAAGAACAGACTGGGGTGAGTAATGAAGTGGTGTGGCTGGGGAAGAGGGAGAGATCAGGGGCATCACGGACCACTGAAGCCCCAAGCCTGAGTGTCAGGATGATGGTAATGTTTATCAGAGATACATGAGACAGAAGATAAAGAGTCCGGGGAGCAGATGATGCATTTGAATTTGGAGGTGTTGAATTGGAATTGATGTGTAGCAAGCAGTTGGAAACTCGGGTCTGAAACGAAGGGAAACGCCAAGTCCCTACACATATGTGAAGAAGGTTCTGGTGTGGTGTGACAGGAGCAGTGCAGAGTGTGTGAGGTCTCCCGAGAGAAAGGGACGGGTTAAGAGAAAACAAGCACCCAAATTGACCTTAGTTATGCCCGTATCTCCGGGATACAAGGGAGGAACGGGGACAAGGTCTGGAAAAGGGCTGTCAGAAAACAGGAGAAACAGGAACATGGCTCGTCCCAGGAATTGCGGAAGGGGACAGCCCCAAGATTCACAGCTGGGTGAGCGAACATTGTCTCATGGTTGGAGGGTCATCAGGGACCTCTTCTGGAGCAGTGACCTCTGCAAAGGGCCAGGTGGGGAGGGAGCTGGACACCAGCGGGCTAGGAGGGGCACAAATGAACCCTCCTCCATGGAGAAACCGTCTTTGGAAAGAAGGAAGAGCTAATACTGAAGCAGGATAGGAGATGCCCGGCTGGAGGAAAGCTTTTCTGTTTAGAATGAGTGGTATCCATCTGCTTGCGAGCAGAGAGAAAGGCGCTGTGGAGAAGCCAGACTAGTTTTTCCTGGAACAAGAGGGAAGAAAAGGAGACCGGGGGAAAGGTGAGAGAGAAAACGTGAAGGCTCGCGCATTTGGGCAGGTTTTCAGGAATTTGAGAGGTAAGGTAATGGATGGAATAAGAAGAGCGAGGGTGTACTTATGGCTGGAGGAGAGTGGGAAAGATTTGGAATAGATGTATAAAGGAACAGCGCTGGGCCTGGGCAGGGGCGGGCACCGGGTGACCACCTCATGCGGAGCCCGGTTTTGTGGGAGCGTGACAGCTGAAAAATGCAGGGCTCGGGGGGTCCAGGGTGATGGTAAGAACTTAGAAGTGGGGGCGCCTGGGTGGCTCAGTCTGTTGAGAGGCCGACTCTTGATTTTGGCGCAGGTTGTGATCTCAGGGAGGTGGGATGAAGCCCCACGTGCAGCTCTGCTCTCAACGGGGAGTATGCTTGAGGATTCTCGCTCCTTTCCCTCTGCCCCTCCCACCTTTCGCACAAGTAAATAAATAAATCTTAAAAAAAAAAAAATAGAAGAGCTTAGCTGCAAAGAAATTCTATTACCTTAGATGCCTCAGACCAACCAATGGACCCAGGTAAGGGAGGAAATTATCTCGAGGGCAGAAACTGCGTCTGATGCCTTATCACATCTCTCAACTCCTGGCATGCAGTAGCTTCTCAGTAAATATTTCCTCATAAATGAACAAGCTGAGTATAAGATATAAGGTCTCAAGAAAGTGCCTCGTGGATAATGCAAGCTGTTGCGGGGGAAGAGAGGTCCCTTGAGGCAGAAGCAGTCCAGGCAGTTGAGAGAATCCTACTCACAAAACTTCCTCTTGGTTTCACTTCCGAGTGTCTCATTCTTCTGTCCTCTTTTGGCATGCGACTTGATCAGAGTTAACTCCTCTCTGCATCTAGCACCATGTCTTGTGTCTTGCATGGAGTAGACATTCAATGCATGTTTACAGGATTGGATGCAAACCAAGCTGTGATTGGTATTTTGTGGTGGTTGTTTATCTTTGGGGAGCACAAAGCTTGCCGAATACAGGAATTGCTGCTACTGCTTCCTGTCACCGTCCCTTGGCCTCATCAAGCAATCTGTCTTGCTTGTTTTGCTGCTGCCTGGGTTACCTTTTGGCTTCCATTCCCTCACCCGCAGCTGGCCTTCAAACAAACACCCCTAAACATTCTGGCACTGGTGCAGCCCCGCCTAGATCCTGCGTGGCACTTCCCACCCTGCCTCCTCACAGAGGGAGCCTTTGCCCTCTCAGGACTCCTCCCCAGCGTGCTCAGTATTGCCTTGCTCGATCTTGGCTACCTTCCACCGGGATTGGGTCTCTGCTCAGACAGTCTTGGGTAAACACTTCTCCCTGTTCAACCCAACCCTAGGCCATCCTTGGGTGACCCATCTGCACTGTTAACCCATTTCAGCAAGCAGAAGCTAGACCAGAATTATTAATAATCCTCAGACCTTTTAAAGGTATTTTCTGGAATTCACAGACTACTCTTCCACAATGGAGGCCCTTTTAAGAGATAGGGACATGAGATAGTCTAGGTGAAGCTACTAGTACTATGACAGTCATATAAAGGAAGCCGGAATAGAAGCCCTGGTTATGTTATATATATTTCAAACCTTTTTAGTGAATCTTTATCCCTGAGGGCTAAATAGGGTCATTACTTCCTTTCTTTCCTAAGTAGAAATCCTTGCTAAATTCTGTTTACTAAACTCATGAATGGGTCATGAATGGAATGAAATGGAATGGTGTGAATGAAATTATAAACATCTTGTTTCTACCTTTAAAAAAAAAAAGAAAGAAAGAAAGAAAAAAGAAATCCTTGCTATTACAACTGAGAAAATTAGCACAGAAAATGTAGAGTCAATCACCAGCCTGGCCCAAAAAGCTGAACCCACCCCTCCTCCTGACTAGAACTGAAGGCAAACTGTTGGATTTCTAACATCAGATTCTACCTTATCTTATTAGGTATTGCAGTGGCGGTGGGACCTTATTCACATCATTGAGCTGAATCTATTTAAATGAGTCTTGCTACTCACCACTACAAGTTCTTTGTCTTGTGCTAAAAGTTTGACTCATTAAAGGCCATTTGAGACAAAATCAAGTCCTTTGTGTGTATACATTTTCCCCCCTGGCAACTCTGTAATCACTGTTCCCTTGTAGCTCAGCAATACTGTTGAGCAACAGAGTTGAGTTGGATTTTTCTAGGGCAGTGGAAGAATCATGGACCTAGACAGAATTGACCTCAAATCCACCCCTTTCCACCTGTGTAAAAGTTACATTCCCCACCTATGCCACTGGAAAGCAGGGGTGAAGACATTGCACTGTCTCCCATATGGAGATTTTGTGGGGATTAAATGAGTTCATTTCTTTAAAAAGTGCCCAGGAAAGCACCTGGCACATATTAGGTGTATAACAAGGGGCTTCCCTTCCTATTTCCCTCCCTTAGTTCCTACCTTGTTTTCCTGAGGGTAACTTTTCAAAGGGCAAATAGAACATATTATGGAAGTGCTTCTACCCATTCATAGTACAGAAATCATTTTCATGTATAGAATCAAGAATTCATTTTTGTGACATTTTCTTACTTATGTCACCTAAAAATTTTACCAGAGCTATTTTGTTTTTGTATGAAATATGTTTTTATTTTTATTTTTTTATTTTTTATTTTTTTTTATTTGACAGAGAGAGACACAGCGAGAGAGAGAACACAAGCAGGGGGAGTGGGAGAGAGAGAAGCAGGCTTCCCGCAGAGCAGGGAGCCCGATGCGGGGCTCGATCCCAGGACCCTGGGATCATGACCTGCGCCGAAGGCAGACGCTTAATGACTGAGCCACCCAGGCGCCCCATGAAATATGTTTTTAAAGCGCTTCCTAGTTGAGACAGCACTTTGAGTGTACATAAAGTAATACATACAACCTGGTGAGGTAGTTCAGGGTCAGGTTATTTGTCCCCATTTTAGAGAGGGACAAACTAACACTCAGGGAGGTGAAGTACTTTGCTCAAGGTCATGTGACAGATAAGTGTGGGAAAAGTGGAACCCAGATCTTTCAACACCTCGCCCCTGTGACTTTCTCTCTCCAGATGCGCTGAGGTACTGGTCTTCCAAAGCCCAGGTGCGAAGCCCTTTGTTAGATGAATTCGCGACATGCTATGGAGTATGGAAAGAACAACATCCTTAACGAGGAGGGAGGGTGGAAATGTCAGTTGCCCCAGACATCTAAGGATTTTCTCTATTACACTGCCATGGAAAAACCCAGCTTCCCATGACCCTCCTGCAGGAGCCTAGTACAATTTCTGTATCACTGGAGAGAGTGAACCCTTTGCCTTGGAAAGGACCAAGAAAAAGTGGGAGGGGATTCAATAAATAAGAGATAAGAATCAGGGCAAGAGTTGTTCTTGAAGAGGCTTTCATGGTTTCATGGAGACAGATGGCAGCTATCTATAAAATATGCTTGCAAGTCCTACTTCCTTCTTCATTTTGATTTGTTGTGACAACTAGAGTTAAGTTTTAGGCAAATAAATATATAGGAGCATATTTTCACTCCAAGTATTGGAATAACTAAAGCAACAGGATGCCTCACAAATTTCTCCATTTACTTTGGGCAAGAAAACTTCTTTCTGCAAAGCAAGTTTTAGTGTTTTTCTGGGTTTTGATGGGAAGGCAGGGGGAGACTGTTAAGATCCATTTCTTCAGTAGTAAGCACTCCTGGTATAATGTAATTAATCAGAGTTAGCCTGGAGCAGTGTCCCACTCAGGAGAATTATCTTCTTCCATTTGGTATCCCACACCTGCCTTTTGCACAGTGCACCAGGAGCCCACTCACCTGATGCTAGTTCTTGGCTGATCAAACCTCCAGCCCATTGGGCTCACATCAGGCCTGTCTCCCACCACAGTCTACCGACCCCAAGAACCAGTCCCCTCATGACATCCCTGTCCTGAGTTCCGTTCCCTCAGTGTCCTCTGAGCTGAGGGATGGTACTCCCACTGGAAATTCTAATCCCTTTTGAAAAACATTTTATTTTCACAAAGGCCCCCAATGCAAAATCTGGGGTACATGCTAGAGACCATGTTTCAGGGGTGTCGGGTATTTCAGGATTCTAGTCATGCCACCTCTGTAGAGACAAATGATTGCTGGTAAACGGTGGAGAGAACTGCACCCAAATGATCTCCTCAGAGTGATCACCTCACTTTACCAGATATCAAAAGAGAGCATCTTGCTGTATGATTCAGACAAGAATCTCCAGGAAAAACAAATACTGTACAACATGAATTACTGAAATGCAGTGAAGCAAGAACTGAGATGCAAAGGCCTGAAAAGAAATGAGGCTCAAGATTAAGAGTGGGGGGAGAAAAGGACAAGTGTTAAAGGAGACTACATGGAAATATGTGCAGAAATAGGCTTCCTGGAAGTAAACTCTGGACAATGAATGAAGGAAATAATATGAGATGCTTCTGAATGGCTGCTCTAAGGTGTGATGAGCATAATTTGACTTGATTAGACTCTCTAGAGTCTCTGATTTACATGATGCAAAGATAGATGCTCATGTCGATCTATTTAATGTTTACCTCTGAAAAGCCTTATGCTTTCTTGTCTTATTTTAAATTCAGACTTGGTGGGTTCTTTCATTTTTGTCATGTCAGTTTGTTTCTTTATGGTGCTGTGAGGTGTTAAAAACAGACACAATGACCATCTCCCAAGAAATAAAATCAATCACCTTTAGGATTGAAAGGTGAAGGGCATTGGCTGAATTAGTAATTCTCCTCTTGAGCCTGAAGAAGTTTTAAAAAGATTTGTTTTCTTTCTCTTGTGCCTTTTTCATGATTCTTCATTTAATTGATTTGTGTAGACATTAAAAGTTCCCTATTTCTATACTCCTAATGATTGAGATGACAATGTTTCCCTGGTTACAAAATTTTAGTGGATTGGAGGGCTACATAATGTATGGGAAAAATTAATTTCACAAAAGCTTTATGTAAAGTCGAACATCTCTGATGGTCCATTTCTCACATGTGCTAATTGGGCATATATATCATGGTGGCTTTGGGGACTTCCAGTCTGAGACCAATTGCCACTTAGTAGTTGTGTGACCTTAAGCAAGTTACTTGATATTTTGGGCATCAGTATTTTATCTGTAACATGCAGATAAGATTTTTTTTTTTTAATTTATTTGACAGAGACAGAGACAGCGAGAGCAGGAACACAAGCAGGGGGAGTGGGAGAGGGAGAGGCAGGCTTCCCACCGAGCAGGGAGCCCGATGCGGGGCTCAATCCCAGGACCCTGGGACCATGACCTGAGCTGAAGGCAGCCGCTTAACTGACTGAGCCATCCAGGAGCCCTGTAACATGAAGATAATGTACAATGTCTACCTCTTACAGTTGTTGTGGGGATGGAGGTGATATACATGTAAAGCACTTAATAGGACAATGTTTTTATTATAATGCAATTGGTTATATAGTCTTAGAGGAGCCACAGAAGGTTAGAGGTTATGCCCATTTGAATACTTAGAAGAAAGATTTTAGGGAGAAATGTGATTTGATATATATTTGAATGATTTTTATTATGGTATTTAAAAAGTGAGTTTCTTTTCAGGTTGTAAAAATGTCCAAACACAAAATACTAAACAACATGGTTGAGATAGAGACTTTATTTGGCTTAATCCATAGCTAGAAATAACATCTATTTAGCACCAACTTCAAATAAAGAGCAAGTTTTGAGAAGCAAAATGTTTGTCTTCCCTTTATAACTAACTTCTGCTTAAAGTTTTGGCCTGGCAGCAGGCATTTGTCATTTGGTGGCTGCCCAGTAGCCAAACTCCTTTCTTACGGTCACAGAAAACCCCACTGTATGAATCTTGGTGGAAAAAGCCAGGAGACTGTGCCTTATTTCTCTCTGCCTTGTGCCATGTTTAGAATCCTTCCAGGTACAGAGTATGCGTTGGTTAAACTGAAAATGTAAACAGGAAGAAGAAAATTTTCACAACCAGGAAAGGCTACACGATGAGTCAGGGCTGATTCTCTGTTCACAAGTAGCTCCACTGTGATTAACTGAATATCTTTGGGCAAGTCACACAACTTGCTCAGTTAGTTACTGGTTAGTTAGTAGTTTCTGCGTCATATATGGAAATGTAAACAAAGGCATTGACCCAGCTGGAGGTATGTAAGGACTAATCAATGAATGAAAATTAACAGGATAGCCATATAAAATCATATGTCTATCAAATACCAAAAGATATGTTTATTTCAGGGCGCCTGGGTGGCTCAGTTGGTTAAGCGACTGCCTTCGGCTCAGGTCATGATCCTGGAAGTCCCTGGATCGAGTCCCGTATCAGGCTCCCTGCTCAGCAGGGAGTCTGCTTCTCCCTCT